TTCATTTAACCTAAAAATGTAAACTAAAACCTATAACGTCTTTATTCTAGACTCCGGGACTTCTATAATTGTGGGTGAAATACTAAAAACTTCGCGGTTGCGCGTAGCCGTCTTCATTTTTCGATTGCAATCCTATATTTAATTTGATGTTGTGTCAGTGTACTGAATTGTGGGTGGGTGGCGATTCGATTTGCGCCGATTACAAACCGAATTACTCAAATCTGTCAAATCGTTGGGCGACAATAATACTGTCGCCAACGATTTTATTCTTCGATGGCAGTGGTTCACCCGATAAATGACTGTATAAAATACAACATCTTGTATTACACTTGTAGAAGAATCGTTCACAACCAGGTGTCTGGAATAAAGTCCGTAAATTTGGTTTTGTATAAGTTTTTTGAGGTTCTGCTCCCTTGGTCTTCACGATGTTTACGATTGACTAATGGCGAACCATCCTGAGACGGGGCCGCGATATCGAAGTGTAAAGAAAGTCCAAAGGTAGGAACGGACACAATCGATTAGACTCATTTACATTGTCGAGAAGTGACGACAGTAAAAAGTGAACACCGTAAGATTACGTCAAAATTCACGTTTAACTAGCATTTGAAGTCGTAACGTAATGACGTGGTTATTATTTCAGATGCTACCTAATAGGTATTGAAGTGAATTGGAAACATGGTATCGCTTCACACCAGTTTGAGGTAGTCTTTTATTAATCTCTTTTTCACACACGGATAACCCACCGGTCATCTATGTGTAAATCCTTAATAGCCAGCTGGCTTTTTTTCTTTTTCTTTTTGTGACAGAGACGAGTCATAAGTATACAAATGTAGAAACTTCACGACGGAAGATAACAAGCATTACTTATTATTATGTATTGTAAATTTCCTATAAGGAAACACTGTGTAATTCCTACTGGGAATACGACGCACAGTGTGGCCTACGCTACCGTTGCAAACCCCCGCCGCGCTAATTGTACATTTCGAGTACGTCTCTGTGCTAGTCTGTGCTTAAGCGAGGCTGTCCGTGCGTACTTCGCCACCTCGCGCCGCGCTTAGTTGCGCTAACTTCTCCC